CCCCAAAACCCCAAAACCCCAAAACCCCAAAACCCCGACCAGGTCTATAAAAATGGAAAATATCAAAATTAATTAATAATTAAAATACCTTTATAATGGGTTGTCAAACATCCACCTCCAGAATTAAGAAGGCTACTAAAGGTCAGGCCAAGGGTAAAGCCGTCAGAGACAGCTAAGTAAGAAAGCACTTATGAGGAATAAAATAGATTAGTGAAATAGGCAGCTAAAATTATTCATAGTCAAATTAGATTATTAAACAAGTTGTTTATTAAGACAAATTGAGGCTATAGAATCAGACTGGAATGATTAAACAAATTGACTATTCCTTCATAGTGAATTAAATATACTGTGAGTAATATTAATACTAGTAAGACATTTGGATGACACATTGTGATATTTGGCTTTAAATGCACACTTCTTTTTATCAAAGTAAGCTGCAAGCTACTGGGTTCCATCTGTAGATAAATTGAGGCTCAGCTTTTAAGTTTACAGAGCTTAGGCACTATTATTAGATGAAATCATTTTAACACTTTAAGGTATAAATACATCTTGCAAAGTTTATTATTCATCGATACTTGCAGACCAATATCCTAACTTTAAAAATAGGAAGATAGTTCATGTGAAATTCAGGGAACCCCAGATCATACCGTTGCAATCAAGAACGAGGCTGCTGATATAATCAAGGAGGAAGCCGTTGATGCAATTAAGGAAGAGGCTGCTGATGCAGTCAAGGAGAGAGCCGCCAATGCAATTACGGATGGAGCTGTTAGTGCAGTCAAGGATGGAGCAATTAATGCTGTAAAATCAGAGGCTAATAAGATGGTGGTCGGAAAAGCTAAGAAAGGAGCTGGTTGTTTGATTTCAAAATTATTTTAACCTCAAATATTAACAACTTTTCATGCAACTTTGAGTATGGATTTAAAGTTTTATGCCATTCAAAGATTTAATTTTTGAAGAGTTCGACAAACAAATTTCAAAAATAGATTCCAATACGTATCTTCCACGATTTTTCATGAGCATATTTTGATTTCTTAATTTATATTAAACTCTGGAAGCTATGTTAAGAGGTAAACTTGCTTCAACAAAATATTTGAAACCTGGGGTTTTGGGGTTTTGGGGTTTTGGGGTTTTGGGG